GAAAAAATTCTATACCATGCACCTAGAGCTTTGGTCACACCTTTGTTTTCTTATAATTAACCAGCACTATGTGATTTGTCTGCAAATTGTAAACTTTTTACGAATTTGCAGCAAAGTAGCCTAAAGAAGTTTTACTTCAAAAATGTTGATAGTATGTTTTATGGCTTGTTGGGTATCTTTTGAAAGGTCTCGACGAGTAGAAAACGATTTTCATAAAAAAAATTATAATGTAATAAAAAAGTAATGTTTTATTGCAACAAATATTAGAATGTTAAATTTTATTATAGTTCGCGGTGCATTTATGTACGATATTGCTTGTTACTTTTAAAATATTGGTCCAAGACTAGTCGAATATTCTACAAATTTATTTTAATCTTAATCCTTAATAATACTGTCTTATATTCTGAAGCTCTACGACAAATATGTAAGCTTTAAAACGTAATGAGTACAAAAAACTAGTATCAGATGCTGTATAAATATTAGTTATAGAACCCTATTCTTTTGTTTTATGAGTCATTAGTATATTTGAATAGAGCTCGTTGAGACCGTTCATTTACCCCACATGACAATATTTGAAGTAAAACTTTTTAGCCCATATTAATAGAGGGTGACCCAGAACTCAACGTCAAAAAATGAGAAAAATCAGAAAAAAATCTATACCATGCACCTAGAGCTTTGGTCACACCTTTGGTTTCTTATAATTAACCAGCACTATGTGATTCGTCCGCAAACTGTACACTTTTTACGAATTTGTAGGAAAGTAGACTAAAGAAGTTTTACTTCAAAAATGTCGATAGTATTTTTTATGGCTTGTTGGGTATCGTTTGAAAGGTCTCGACGAGTAGATAACGATTTCACAAAGAGATTTTATTGTAATAAAAACGTAATATTTTATTTATTTACTTCCCGTTGCAAAAAAATATGGGTATGATAAAATTTAGAGATTTTTTTTTAAATATATGAAGTGCAAAACTTTTGTTACAAATACTAATTACATTAACTATGTAATTTGTTGGCAAAATATACGCGTTTAACGAATTTGTAGCAAAGTAGCCTAAAGAAGTTTTACTTCAAAAATGTTGATAGTATTTTTTATGGCTTGTTGGGTATCGTTTGAAAGGTCTCGACGAGTAGAATACGATTTTCACATAAAAAATTACACAATTTTCACAAACTATAATGTAATAAAAAAGTAATATGTTATTGCAACAAATATTAAAATGTTAAAATTCATTATAGTTCGCGGTTCATTTATGTACAATATTGCTTGTAACTTTTAAACTATTTGTCTAAGAATAGTTGAATATTCTACAAATTTGTTTCAAACTTAATTCTTAATATTACTGTCTAATATTCTGAAACTGTGCAACAAATATATTTGCTTTAAAACGTTAATGAAAACCAAAAAAATAGTCGTAGATGCTGTATAAATTTGAATTCAAGAACCCTATTGCTTTGTTTTACACGTCATTGATATATTTGAATCGAGCTTGTTGAGACCGTTCATTTGATACCCCGCATGACTATATTTGAAGTAAAACTTTTTAGCTCATTGGACCCACTGTTCACGGTGCATTTATGTACAAAATCGCTTGTAACTTTTAAACTATTTGTCTAAGAGTAATTGAATATTCTACAGATTTGTTTTAAACTTAATCCCTAATAATACTGTTTAATATTCTGAAGCCTTATGACAAATATGTTTGCTTTAAAATGTCTATGAAAACAAAAAAATAGTGTTAGATGCTATATAAATATCACCTACGAAACCCTATAGCTTAATTTTATCCCTTATTGATATATTTGAATACACCTCGTTGAGACCATTCAATTGATACCCAACACGCTTATATTTGAAGTAAAACTTTTTAGCTCATTATGACTTTTATTACCCTGGTTCCTCCCAGAGCTCCAGGTTCAGCTCCAACAGCCACAGTTTGCCTCCTAGCCCTATGTAACTCCTCAAAATCGTCTAATGGTAAAATCTGGTCACCATCAATTGGCAAAAGGGCAAATTCTTGTCCATCTTCATCACGAACCACTTCCAAAGATAAAGAATTTGCACCACAGACCAACAAACTTGCTGATAGAACGAAGAATAACTTTAACATTTTTAATAATAATAATAATTAAATAATTTGATTAATTATAAATTAATTTTATAATTAATTTTAGGCGAAATGTTTAGTACAAGTTCACTTTACGTTATGATGATGTCTTAGAAAATTCTTCCGGTTTATATAGGAAGTATATGGTGAATCCCGTTTTCCTAAATGTTTCCATTATACGTTATCAGTTTTTATTAGTAGATTTTATTTCAAAGTATTTGTTTGGGAAGTATTTAAAAGATGCAAAGTATTTCACATAAGTTATTCCCCTTGCAGAATTTTAGATGACTAATTTGTAATTGTAATCAGTTCAAATTTTAATGAGGAAAAGGTCATGTAGTAGTATATCGGTTTGTGTTTGAAAGGTCATTGCATTTGTTGATATCGATAATGTTTATTATATATATATATATATATATATATACTAGCTGACCCGGCAAACGTGATTTTCCCATAAAAAATATTTCTAGTTTAAAATGTTTAGTATGAAAATAACTAACTGGCAAACGTGGTCTATATGCAAGATACCAGTAACACATACAATTAGTTCTTGGTCAATACTAATAGTTTTTGCAAGAGCCCACCTAATCTGAAACTGATTATATTTATATTGAATTAGCACATTTCAAGTTTCAAGCTTATTTTTCCGCGCTTTTCTATTAAATTATTCATTTTTTAATTGCGAAGCGAAATCCGATAATTTATTTTTAAATAATATAATTTTATTTGGCTAGCTCAGCGAATTGACCGAGATTGAATAAAAAGAGAGTGGAAAATTTTACAACTTTGCCATAGATTTGTATGGTACCTATAGTTTCATATCAAAAACTGTTTTATCTTCAGATTTTAATATTCAATCTCTATATTTTTTGGCGAAAATTGCTCTTTATGCAAACCATTTATCAACTTTGCACAAAAAGAAATTGACTCCAAACTTTAAAAAAAGTATTAGGATTGGACAACCCTTAATAAAAATAAATCGTTTTTTAAAATATGATTTAAGGTCGTTCTTTCATTTCAAAAATCTGAACTAAAATTATATCAAAAATATTCAACGACTGAACGCGAGATAAAAATTATTGAACTGCTAGAAATGGCTATAAAAAGTAGGAATTGGTGATACAAAAAAGTAATAATCTTAGGTCTTAGGAATGTAGTTTTTAATGCCGCATTATAAAAAAATAAAAATGAAGAAAAATCGTTCTCGAACAAAAATATTAAGGGTAAATAACTCTTAAATCACTGAGGGGCACGAAAAATATTTACTGATTCTCAGGCCTACTAAATACGCATATAAATTTTGTTAGGAATCGGTAAAGCCGTTTCGGAGGAGTACAGGAACGAACTTTGTGACACGAGAATTTTATATACAAGATATATACTGATGCCTTTGATAAATTACTGAACCAAAAATTACTAGTCATGTGATAATCTACATAATGTTAATAATTATTATATTTTTTGCATTTTATTCTATTCATGGTTTTGATTTTTTTGTGTTTTTTAACTTCCCGTAAGGTAAGTTATTGTAATCGTCCAAAAATCAAAAATGCAAATTTTTGCATTTCTCGACGTTTTGAAGGTTTCTGAACAGTTTACTGGCATACCTCAGAAAACTAATGGATGTGTGTGTGTGTGTTTTGTATGTCCGCATTTTTTCGTCCACGTTTTCGGGCGCACGGATCAATCGATTTGAATGATTCAAAAAACATTCGATCCCTATTAATAGGGAGATGTGCTGATTAGTTTTTGGCAAAGGCAAGTGCAGCCGTTACGGAGATATGGAGCAAAGAGTGCAGAAAATAGAAATCGAGTTTTTGAGAGAACGGATCATCCGATATTATGATTCAAAAAACTTTGTGCTTGTTTCAACAAAAATAATTGCTTTTGGAAAAGAAAATTTGTATTAATTTTTTGGATTAATAATTCAAAAAATGAGGCTAAGCACAGTCTGAGCGCCACTCTGGTACAAATGTTTACCCAAGTGCGTTTAGACTGTTTATGCACTAGAGCACTTTTCCAATTTTGTGAAAACTATTGAAAAATGTGAAAATGCCGCCAAGCTAAGCACAGTATAAGTGAAAATGTCGCACATAATTATTTGCAAATGCTAGACTGTGACTATACGGGAGCACTTTTTCAATTTTGTGCAAATTAGGCAACTATTTTTTTTTTGAAATTGAATTTGAAATGAAATGACGATTGTTAACGAATGTTCAGGAGATAAATTGATTTATGATTTATGATTTACATTTGATTTGCTCAGATATAACAAGATAGCAAAAAGTAATGAAAGTTACAGTATTTGTAATAATATATTTGAAAACGTTTAAATTTTTTTGAATATTTCATTACGGTACGGGAAGTTCCAGCAAAAGGCAATATGCCATGCGCCCCACTAGTATTCTTAAATATTCCGGCTATTTTGCACAAATCTTTTTGATTTACTTTGAAGATGGATCAAAAACCATATTCGGAACGTTTGCAAATCTATAAAAGTCATTATACTTTACTAAAAATTTATTGTTATAATTTATTATTATATTATATGATTATTTTATTTAAGAATGGATTTTTCAACTAAAACTTCAGAAATTAGATTGAAAAAATTGAGAAACAAAACTTCACTTAACGAATAGTTTTTTAAATTGACACTAATTATAAGTGATTTTTTTTCTTAATTTTCGCTACATTTTAGAAATTTTATTTATTGTTCAGAATGTAACAAATTTATATACCCATACACACACATATACACACATACACACACACATATATATATATGTGAATATATACTGAATTTCATTAACAATATAAAATCTTTTCCCCAGGTTACCACCGCCAAATATTCAACTAAAAGAAGTGGCTCCTAGTATCGACGATCACATTGAGGCCGATTCATCTTTACACAACGGAAGAGTGCGTTCTTTCGCCCACGAACGAGGAAATTGGGCCACATTTGTTTATATACAATGTAATAATAAATATAAATTATAAATAACAAATATATATATATATATATCTATATATATATATATATATATATATATATATTAATTTATTGATTTATTATTATTTTTTTAGATGAAGACGATGGCCTGGTAGAGATGATGTGCAGCGACTTGAAGAAAATCTTTCCTAAACTGATGAACGTCGACGATTACCATATCAGTGTAACAAAGACATTTGTATTGAGACATCATTTGATCGAACCCTTCGTGAAGACTGTTAAAGATAATATAAAGTCGATAGAAAAGTAAGAATAACTAGTGGTGTATGGCATGGTGCCTTAAGGCAAATTGCAGGAACTTCCCGTACCGTAACGAAATGTTCGAGGAATTTTAAACGTTCTCAAATATATTACTACAAATACTGTAACTTTCATTATTTTTGCTATCTTTTGTTATATCTGAGCAAATCAAATGTAAATCATAAATCAATCAATTTATCTCCAACAATCGTCATTTCAATTCGAATTCAATTTCAAAAAAAAAATAGTTGCCCAAAATTGCACAAAATTGAAAAAGTGCTCCCGTATAGTCACAGTCTAAACGCATTTGCAAATAATTCTGTGCAACATTTTCACTTATACTGTGCTTAGCTTGGCGGCATTTTCACGTTTTTCAATAGTTTTCTCACAAAATTGCTAAAGCGTTCCAGCACATAAACAGTCTGAACGCACTTTGGTAAACATTTGTACCAGAGTGGCGCTTAGACTGTGCTTAGCCTGGGTCATTTTTTTAATAATAAAAAGAAACTCTACTGACAAGAAAATTGACATTTTTTAATACAAAAAGGAACTCTACTGACGAGCAAATTCTAACATTTTTAGGGAAAAGGGAACTCTACTGACGAGCAAAATCTGATATTTTCAAAAAAAAAAAAAAGAAACTACTGATGAGCAAATTGACATTTTCAGGAAAAAAATTCTACTGACAAGAAAATAAGAAAAAGAAACTATCCTGACGAGCATATTTAAATATTTCAAAATACTTTTTTCAAACAAACAGAACTCTACTGACAAGCAAATTTTAACATCTTTTCCGAAAAAAAAATACTAATAACATTCTGACATGTTTAGAACAAGAAAAGAAACTCTACTTACGAGTATAATCATATATTAGAAAAAAGAACTCAACTGACAGACAAAGTCTAACAATTTAAAAAAAGGACTCTACGGACGAGCAGATTTGGATTTTTTTTTAAATATAAATAGATTTACTGACATAAGAAAAAAGGAACTCTACAAACGAGCAAATTTTGACTTTTTTTTAAATATAAATAACTCTACTGACGAGCAAATTATGTTTTTAGGAAAAAGAAACTCTACTGACGAGCAAATTCTTATATAATATTTTTAGATAAAAAGAAATCTGATGAGAAATTTGAACTTTTTTGCAAAAAAAACTCTACTGACGGGTAAATAATTCTGTGCGATATTTTCACTTGTACTGTGCTCAGCTTGGCGGCATTTTCACATTTTTCAATAGTTTTCACAAAATTGGTGAAAAGTGCTGCAGTACATAAACAGTCTAAACGTACTTGGGTAAACATTTGTACCAGAGTGGCGCTTAGACTGTGCTTAGCCTGGGTGATATTTTGAATTTTTAATCCGAAATTACAAAATTTTTTTATGGAAAATTAAAATAGACGGCTGGACCTGCCTTGCTGCCAAATACTGAAGATATTAATAAAAAACTAAAAATGTGCACGTTAAAAAGTGAAGATATAATTTATTTTTTTATAAAAAACTGCCATTTTTTGCACATTTAGCTCTGTATCTTCCAAATGGCGGGACTTGCCTTTGCCAAAAACTAATCACCTCTTTCCCCAATCATTACAAATTGAATGTTTTTTAGATCATTTAAATATGATGCTCCGTTATCTCAAAAACTCGATTTGTATTTTCTGCACTCTTTGCTCCGTATCTCCGAAACGGCTTGGCCTACCTTTGCCATAAACTAATCAGCACATCTCCCTATCAATAGGGATCGAATGTTTTTTGAATCATTCAAATCGGTTGATCCGTGCGCCCAAAAACGTGGACGAAAAAATGCGGACATACAAAACACACACACACACACATATACACATTCACATCCATTTTTTCTGAGGTATGTCAGCAAAATGTTTTTCCCAAATCAATTCTTGTCATTAATTATCAAACTCGAAATTATTGACCAAATCGTGTTTGCCACATCACTCCACTTTTTTCAATCTGCAACTTTATTGAAGAACGCCGTTTTACTGTGATAATTCAAAATATTTAAAATTTCTAATATATAAAAAAATGATTGGAGAAAAACATCTCAAAACAAACTCGAAATTCTTGACCGACTTGTGTTACCACACCACTCGCCCCTTTTTAATCGCGATTTTTTTTAATTAAGTTTTACTATAACATTTTAAAATATTTATTTAAATTTCTAATACAGAAAAAATTGACAAAAGCACCTCGCAGCCAACATGAAATTCGTTGCCAACTCGTGTTGCCACATCACTCCCCTTTTTTCAAATCTGCAAATCTTTATTCAAGAACTTTTACTTCAGTACAAATAGTTTATAAAAATGTTAATGACTCAAAAATAATTTGACAAAAACATCTCAAAGCCAACTTAAAGTTCAGGCTAACTCGTGTCGCCACATCACTCCCCCTATTTAATCTACAACTTTATTGACACACACCCACACACACACATCCATTTAGTTTCTGAGGTATGCCCTTTAAAATGTTCAGAAACCTTCAAAACGTCGAGAAATGCAAAAATTTTCATTTTCGATTTTCGGCCCATTACTACGAGAAGTTAAAAATTAAAATTGGTTCAGTCGTTCTTAAGAAAACCAAGTCAAAGTGTCAATTTTTGTCTTTTATTTCAATTTTGGTCTCAAACGATACAGAACGTCTTGGACCCTTAGGACATACACTGTGCATGTTTTAACCAGGTGTTGGAAAAATTCATACTACATGCGTTTAGGCAAAATAATGCCACTCATACCTAGTTTACTATAGTAAACTATTTATGAACATATCAATTGTATTTTTTTCAGATTTGATATAACTTTTGGTGACTTACAAATTTACACAAACGAAGACAAAACCAGGACATTTGTCGGCTTGAAAGTCTCTTCGGGTGTTAAAGATTTGTTGAGGGTTGTCGAAGAGATGGACAAAAGTTTGGAGGATTATAAACTACCTGTATACTACGAGGTAATATATATATATATATATATATATATATAAATATATGTATATTAGAGTGATCCATAATATGGACATTGTCAAATTTTCCAAATTAATGAATAGGAATGTATGTGGATTTTTTCTAATTTCAATATATAAATGTATATATCGATGTATACACGTGTATAACTATAGGAATGTTTGTGGATTTCGTCTAAATTCAATATATAAATGTATATATCGATTTATACACGTGTATAACTATAGGAATGTTTGTGGATTTTGTCTAAATTAAATATATAAATGTATATATCGATTTATATACGTGTATAACTATAGGAATGTTTGTGGATTTTGTCTAAATTCAATATATAAATGTATATATCGCTTAATACACGTGTATAACTATAGGAATGTTTGTGGATTTTGTCTCAATTCAATATATAAATGTATATATCGATTTATACACGTGTATAACTATAGGAATGTTTGTGGATTTTGTCTAAATTAAATATATAAATGTATATATCGATTTATATACGTGTATAACTATAGGAATGTTTGTGGATTTGTGTCTAAATTCAATATATAAATGTATATATCGATTAATACACGTGTATAACTATAGGAATGTTTGTGGATTTTGTCTAAATTCAATATATAAATGTATATATCGATTTATACACGTGTATAACTATAGGAATGTTTGTGGATTTTGTCTAAATTAAATATATAAATGTATATATCGATTTATACACGTGTATAACTATAGGAATGTTTGTGGATTTTGTCTAAATTAAATATATAAATGTATATATCGATTTATACGTGTATAACTATAGGAATGTTTGTGGATTTTGTCTAAATTAAATATATAATGTATATATCGATTTATACACGTGTATAACTATAGGAATGTTTGTGGATTTTGTCTAAATTCAATATATAAATGTATATATCGATTTATACACGTGTATAACTATAGGAATGTTTGTGGATTTTGTCTAAATTCAATATATAAATGTATATATCGCTTAATACACGTGTATAACTATAGGAATGTTTGTGGATTTTGTCTAAATTCAATATATAAATGTATATATCGATTTATACACGTGTATAACTATAGGAATGTTTGTGGATTTTGTCTAAATTCAATATATAAATGTATATATCGATTTATACACGTGTATAACTATAGGAATGTTTGTGGATTTTGTCTAAATTAAATATATAAATGTATATATCGATTTATACACGTGTATAACTATAGGAATGTTTGTGGATTTTGTCTAAATTCAATATATAAATGTATATATCGATTATACACGTGTATAACTATAGGAATGTTTGTGGATTTTGTCTAAATTCAATATATAAATGTATATATCGATTTATACACGTGTATAACTATAGGAATGTTTGTGGATTTTGTCTAAATTAATATATAAATGTATATATCGATTTATACACGTGTATAACTATAGGAATGTTTGTGGATTTTGTCTAAATTAAATATATAAATGTATATATCGATTTATACACGTGTATAACTATAGGAATGTTTGTGGATTTTGTCTAAATTCAATATATAAATGTATATATCGATTTATACACGTGTATAACTATAGAAATGTTTGTGGATTTTGTCTAAATTCAATATAAAAATATGTATATCGATTTATACACGTGTATAACTATAGGAATGTTTGTGGATTTTGTCTAAATTCAATATATAAATGTATATATCGATTTATACACGTGTATAACTATAGGAATGTTTGTGGATTTTGTCTAAATTAAATATATAAATGTATATATCGATTTATACACGTGTATAACTATAGGAATGTTTGTGGATTTTGTCTAAATTCAATATATAAATGTATATATCGATTTATACACGTTTATAACTATAGGAATGTTTGTGGATTTTGTCTCAATTCAATATATAAATGTATATATCGATTTATACACGTGTATAACTATAGGAATGTTTGTGGATTTTGTCTAAATTCAATATATAAATGTATATATCGATTTATACACGTGTATAACTATAGGAATGTTTGTGGATTTTGTCTAAATTAAATATATAAATGTATATATCGATTTATACACGTGTATAACTATAGGAATGTTTGTGGATTTTGTCTAAATTCAATATATAAATGTATATATCGCTTAATACACGTGTATAACTATAGGAATGTTTGTGGATTTTGTCTCAATTCAATATATAAATGTATATATCGATTTATACACGTGTATAACTATAGGAATGTTTGTGGATTTTGTCTAAATTAAATATATAAATGTATATATCGATTTATATACGTGTATAACTATAGGAATGTTTGTGGATTTTGTCTAAATTAAATATATAAATGTATATATCGATTTATACACGTGTATAACTATAGGAATGTTTGTGGATTTTGTCTAAATTCAATATATAAATGTATATATCGATTTATACACGTGTATAACTATAGAAATGTTTGTGGATTTTGTCTAAATTCAATATAAAAATATGTATATCGATTTATACACGTGTATAACTATAGGAATGTTTGTGGATTTTGTCTAAATTCAATATATAAATGTATATATCGCTTAATACACGTGTATAACTATAGGAATGTTTGTGGATTTTGTCTCAATTCAATATATAAATGTATATATCGATTTATACACGTGTATAACTATAGGAATGTTTGTGGATTTTGTCTAAATTTAATATATAAATGTATATATCGATTTATACACGTGTATAACTATAGGAATGTTTGTGGATTTTGTCTAAATTCAATATATAAATGTATATATCGATTTATACACGTGTATAACTATAGGAATGTTTGTGGATTTTGTCTAAATTAATATATAAATGTATATATCGATTTATACACGTGTATAACTATAGGAATGTTTGTGGATTTTGTCTAAATTAAATATATAAATGTATATATCGATTTATACACGTGTATAACTATAGGAATGTTTGTGGATTTTGTCTAAATTCAATATATAAATGTATATATCGATTTATACACGTGTATAACTATAGGAATGTTTGTGGATTTTGTCTAAATTCAATATATAAATGTATATATCGATTTATACACGTGTATAACTATAGGAATGTTTGTGGATTTTGTCTAAATTTAATATATAAATGTATATATCGATTTATACACGTGTATAACTATAGGAATGTTTGTGGATTTTGTCTAAATTAAATATATAAATGTATATATCGATTTATACACGTGTATGACTATAGGAATGTTTGTGGATTTTGTCTAAATTCAATATATAAATATGTATATCGATTTATACACGTGTATAACTATAGGAATGTTTGTGGATTTTGTCTAAATTCAATATATAAATGTATATATCGATTTATACACGTGTATAACTATAGGAACGTTTGTGGATTTTGTCTAAATTTAATATATAAATGTATATATCGATTTATACACGTGTATAACTATAGGAATGTTTGTGGATTTTGTCTAAATTCAATATATAAATGTATATATCGATTTAAACACGTGTATAACTATAGGAATGTTTGTGGATTTTGTCTAAATTCAATATATAAATGTATATATCGATTTATACACGTGTATATTTATAAGAATGTTTGTGGATTTTGTATAAATTCAATATATAAATGTATATGTCGATTTATTCACGTGTATAACTATAGGAATGTTTGTGGATTTTGTCTTAATTTAATATATATAATTTATTTTCTGTTCAGGATCCATCCTTTCACATGAGTATATTATGGTGTACGGGTGATCACAAAGAAGAGCTTTTGGAATTGTTAGAAAAATTGAACGAGACTTTTTATAAAATTATTGAATCCAGTGCTGATAATTTTAATGCTTTAGAATTATCAGTCGATAGGCTAATTTGTAAAACAGGGAATCAGTTGTATCATTTACCTTTTTAATAGACTGATGTTTAGTTCAATTTTAATTATAATAAATAATTTATTATATATATATATATGTATATATATATATATATATATATATATATATATTGGGTAGTAGCAGGTTTACTTATAATGGTTTTTTGAGGTTAAATTTCATGACACGAATATTTTTTTTAAATTAAATTATAGTGGGAACTTGGGTTGTTTTAGATGGTGAATATTAAATGTACGTTTTTCAATAAGATTTATTTAAATAATATTTTCCAAATAGTTATCCTGTGATTAGTAACTCGAATATTAATATATATGATTAATGTTAATTGTGGTGACAAACAATATATTTTTAATTGTATAAACAAAAATTGTACAAAATTGTGTAATACGAGTCAAAGTGTTCTTATCATGTTATGTAGACTTAAATAAATGTATTTATTTTCAAAAGAAATCTGATTTATTTTATTAATAAATTACATTTTATTTATACATTTTATTTTAATAATTCAGGGTAATAAAAAACGAATTTAAATACATTAATATTTTTCAGTAATTAATAAAATAATTAAATTTTGTTAATACGTTTTCCAACAAACCACAAATCGTAATTAAAACGTTGAACGTAATCCATTGGACGTAAACTTTTACGTAACGTAGAAGGCACGCAAATGTTTGTAACTTCGCCTCAAGAACGTAAAGGGCTGTTACGTTATGGTTTCGTTTTTGTTACGTTTTCAAAATACAAACTAAATTTATTTTATTAATTTGAAGAATATTTAAATACATTTAATTTAGAGTATTTAATAAAATATTTAAATACATATTATTAATAAGTTTTCTTTTATTAATTTACAATAATTGAAAAATATATAAATACACTTTATTAATATATTTTATTTTATTAATTTAGAGAAAGTAATAAAATACTTAAAAATATTAACAATACATTTTATATTATTGATTTAAATTAATTAAAAAATATTTAATATTTAAAACATGTAAAATAATTTATTTTATCAATTTAAAGTAATTAAATAATTTTTATTAAATAAAGTATTTAAAATAATATTTTTAATAATTTATAATACTATATATTTTTTAAATTTAGAGTTATTTCAAAAATATTTAAATTGGTTTAATTATTACAGTACATGAATTTATTTTATTTCATTAAGTTACAGTAATTAGAAATATTTAGTAATAAATTTATAATTTTATTTAATTATATTACAGCAAATAAAATTTATATTTAAATAAATTTTACTACATTAAGGCAAAATGCTGCTTACATCTAGATACTATTTTTTTAAATAAAATCAATAAAAATTATATTAATTTTTGTAAAAAGCGTTAAATGATTTTTTTATATTATGAAAACACTTTTTAATATATAAATTATCATTTTTTTTATAAATAATTATAATAATTAATGTAACACATTATGATTTTTAAAAATCACGTAGTTAGTAGGTAGTATTAATATAAATTGAATTTCAATTTTGTAATATATGATAAATAATAATTTAAGACCATTTTGTAAATCTATAAAAATTTACAAATATTTTTATCTGTATGACAAACATTAAATATACTTTTTTCATTAAATATATTGGTAAAATCATTCATTACTAATATCATTTGTAGTAATAAACCAAATATTCAAATTTTGTACTCATTTCCTGAATTATAATAATCGAAAACTTTCTTTTTACAAATCGGAAATTCCCAGTTTTTTTTTAAATCGTCATGGACAAGTCATCAATTTCTGCTCTAATTTAGTATAATATATATATATATATATATATATATATATATATATATTAGTGATAAAAGTAAGTATTTAAAGTTTTTGCAACATTTGATAAAATTTAGATAAAATGGTTAAATTTAGTAATAAGATAATAAATTGTCAAATTCAAAAAAGTCTAGTATAAAATTTATAAGCATATTAATCTGTGAATTTGATGAAGTATAACAGTAAATTACCACACAAATTATGTATTCAATTCCATAATTGCAACAAAATGAAAACTTTCACTTTTGAATTCAAAATTCCCGGTTTTTATAAAACATCACCAACTTCAGTCTAATGGTTTAATTTAGCTCATTGTATTATAAAACACATGTCTAAGTAATAATTAATAAATGTGTCTAATATACACATAGATATATATATATATATATATATATAAATATTTATATATATATATATATATATAAATATTTATATATATAAATATATGTATATATATATATATATATATATTGATATATAAATCTATAAATTAGTACTTTAATAATAAATGAATATTTTAATTATGTATTCATGCTTAATTTCAACAAAATAAAAACTTTCACTTTTGAAATTTGAAATTCCCAGTTTTTCCGAAACGTCACCAACTTCAGCTTAGTTTGTTTGCGAACTTTATCAAATATATCAAAACGACAAATAAGCCAAAGTAATGATAAATAAAACATATTTATTTATGAATTAGTTGGATTATAATATAATATTACTATTCAAATTAAGTATTAATTCATAAATTTAACAAAATAAAAACTGTCACTTTGCAATTCAAAATTCCCGGTTTCAATCGAAACGTTATTAACTTCACTTGAATCTGTGTGCACAAGTGTCAAAATAAGAAATGTGCTAATGTAATATATACTAATATATTTTAATCTATAAATTACGTAGTCTATAATAATAAAAAAATATTTAAATTATCTATTAATGCTTAAATTTAACAAAATAAAATCTTTACATTTCAAATTCAAATTTCCCGGCGTCTTTTAATCGCCGCCAACTTCAGCCCCCTCGCGCACTTTCAACTCAAGTGTCAAAACAACAACTGTGCCAATTTATTATATATTGCATGTTAATGCGAATTTACATCATTTGTCCTTATTTCACCAGTGAATGTATATTTTCAGTTAAATCCACACCAAATTCCTTTACAAAATGATCCGTGTCGACATAAAATCGTTATTCAATAAAAGCAGGTACGTAATAAACCTAAAATTCCTTTACCTTTTACTTCGATACGTCATTTTAGGTTAGTTGCAACATTTTGACAGTTTTGGAATATTTCCAGATTTCCAAACGATCCAGTCAGTTTGTTTTGGATTATTGTCTACTGGCCTTTTGGGGTTTTGTTAGTGTTTTTAAGGTTTCATATTGTTTTGTGTATTTATATGCTTACGAATCTTTTGCCCAATACTCAAACTTTGAAACAAGTCTGCTGTCGGGGCATATGTGGAGCTCTGGGTAAGATGACACATGAATTATTAATTTGTAATTGATGTAATAATTATAAATGATTGATACTTATTTCTACTGATAGTAGGAATCATACATAAGTAGATATTTTTTTATTTATTTATTTTTTTATATATCATTTTCATATCTCAGTCAGACAGTGGGTATCTGGTATGAGAGATTATGAAACAATTTTCTTATTTTATATATACATATCATTTGTCTATTATACTACAATATAATATTTATCATAATCAAAATATCTATTCAATCTTCAATTTCCTTATAATATTTCTTTATTTTTCTTTTAAATTGGTCATCTTAATATCGTTTGGCAATTCATTATATATTTTACTAGCGCTCAATATGACATTTCCTCTCAATTTTTTTTTTCTATTGTGTTCAATGTGAAAATTGCTATGTATTTAATGTCTGTTTTTTTGAAAAAATTAAGGAAAAACAATGTTGTAACATCTTTGGGCTAAATATGTCATTTTTAGCCTATTTGTAATATTTTCCATTTGTTTACAACATTTTTGGACTATTTGCTACACTTTTAGGATAAATATGATATTTTTACTCTTGTGGACAAAAGCTAATAAACTAAAACTTTTGTAAATTGCCCTTAAATATTTATATTTGTGTGACGATAAAATTCTAGTTATGAATCTATAAACTTATCTCAGATTTTGTTTTTAATTCTTATTATTTTATTTATTATTGTTTTTATTTCTTATCTTTGCCTCAATATGTTTTGTCAATTTAACAAAATTATTTTGAAGTAAATTAGATGAAACTACAATAAACTAGTGGTGTATGGCATTGTGCCTTATGGCAAATTGCTGGAACTTACCGTACCGTAATGAAATATTCGAGGAATTTTAAATGTTTTCAAATATATTATTATAAATACTGTAACTTTCTTTATTCGTATTGTTTATATATGTCTATTTATATATATATATATATATATATATATATATATATATATATAAAAGGAGGAAGGACCTTATCTCATATTTCTAAGAAATATATAAACTGAATTTCAAAGATAAAATTATTTATTTCAAGTATATAAGTAATGTTTAGGATTCTAATATTTTTGCTTCAATATTTTTCGTCAATTTAATAAAATTATTATGAAGTATGAATTAGATGAAAAAACTAGAAACTAGTGGTGTATGGCATTGTGCCCCAAGGCAAATTGCTGGAACATCCCATACCGTAATGAAATATTAGAGGAATATTAAATGTTTTCAAATAGATTATTATAAATACTGTAACTTTAATTATTTGTATTTTATATTCAAATTACAAGAGTTTATAAATTGCCTGACGACGTTTATATATGTTTACATGAAAAATAAATAAAATTTAATGAATTTAATCAAGCGGTTATCAAGTTAGAATGATGGACCTTATCTCATATTCCCAAGAGTTATATAAACTGAATTGCAAAGTTAAATTTATTTATTTCAAGTATATAAGTGAGCTTTAGAATTTGAGCCAGAATTAAAATTATAGTCCGAATCATTTTCAATATTTGAATTTTGAAATCAATAAAAAAATGTATTTTGAATCATTCAAATCGGATGCTCCGTTCTCTCAAAATCTCGATTTCTATTTTCTGTACTCTTTGCTCCGTATCTCCGAAACGGCTGGACCTGCCTTTGACAAAAACTAATCAGCACGTCTTTCCATCAATAGGTATCGAATGTTTTTTGAATCATTCCAATCGGTTGATTCGTGCGCCCGAAATCGTCGACGAAAAATTGTATTCGCACATATAAATAAACATGACATTTCATCAGTTTCCTGCATTTTTGCTTTGTATCTCCAAAACGGCTAGACCTGCCTTTGCCAAAATCGAATCAGCACTAATCCCCATCAATAGGAATCGAATGTTTTTTGAACCATTCAAATCGGTTGATCCGTGCGCCCGAAATTTTCGACGAAAGATTGTATCCGCACATATATACAAACATGAAATTTAATCTGTTTCTGGCATTTTTGACCCGTATCTCCGAAACTTCTAAATCTTCATTTGCCAAAATGTAATCAGTACATATCCCCAACAATAGGAATAGAATGTTTTTGTATCATTCGAATCGGTTGATCCGTTCTCGCAAAACCGTCGACGGAAGATTGTATCCGCACATACATACAAACATGAAATCTCTTGCGTCTTCTGCATTTTTACCTCGTTTCTTCAAAACGGCTAAATCTGCCTTGGCCAAAAATAAATCAGCAAATCTCTCCAACAATACGAATTGAATGTTTTTTAAGCCATTCCAATCGGTTGACCCGTGCGCCCGAAATCGTCGAAGAAAGATTGTATCCACACATGAAACTTCATCAGTTTTCTTCATTTTTGCTCCGTATCTCCGAAACGGCTGGACCACAAACTAATCAGCACGTCTCCCTATCAATACGAATCGAATGGTTTTTGACTCATTCAAATTGGTTGATTCGTGCGCCCAAAATCGCCATCGAAAGATTGTATCCGCACATACATATGAACATGAAATTGTATACTTTTCCTGCATTTTGGCTTCGTATCTCCGAAACGGTTTGACCTGCCTTTGCCAAAAACTAATCAACACATCTCCCCATCAATAGGAATCGAATGTATTTTGAATCATTCAAATCGTCGACGAAAGATTGTATCCGCACATACATACAAACATAAAATTTCATCCGTTTCCTGCATTTGTGTCTCGTATCTCCGTAACGGCTGGACCTGCCTTTGCCAAAAACTAATCAGTACATCTCCCCATCAATTGGAATCGAATGTATTTTGATTCATTCAAATCGGTTGATCCGTGCTCCCGAAATCGTCAACGAAAGATTGTATACGCACATACATACAAACATGAAATTTCATCAGTTTTCTTCATTTTTTGCTTCGTATCCCCAAAACGGCTAGACTTGTCTTTGCCAAAAACTACACAAGACGTCTCACCATCAATACGAATGGAATGTTTTTTGAATCATTCAAATCGATTGAACCGTGCGCCCGAAATCGTCGACGAAAGATTGTATCCACACTTGAAATTTCATCAGTTTTCTTCATTTTTGTCTCTTATCTCCGAAACGGCTATATCTGCTTTTACTTAAAATTAATCAGCACATCTCCGTATCAATATCAATCGAATTATTCAAATCAATTGATCCGTGCGCCCGAAAACCTGGACAAAAGTTTGTATCCGCACATACGTTCAATGCGTTGAAACTTTATGCGTTTTCCGCATTTTTGCTTCGTATCTCCAAAACGACTGGACCTGCCTTAGCCAAAAACTAATCAGCACGTCTCCCCATCAATATGAATCGAATGTTTTTTGATTCATTCAAATCGGTTGATCCGTGATCCCGAAATCGTCGACGAATGTTTGTACGTACACAAACACGTTAAAAACTAAAAATTTAAATTATTAAAAAAAAGGTATGATGTTAAAAAAATTTAAATCTGTGAAATTTATGACAATTTTTAGTTTTAAAATGTAATTTTGCACAATATTTTGTAAATTTTTAAAGAAAAACAAGTTAAATCATTTTATCATTTAACTAGTGGCGTATGGCATCGTGACTTAAGGCAAATTGCTGGAACTTCCCGTATCGTAACAAAATGTTGGAGAAATTTCAAACGTTTTCAAATATATTATTACAATTATTACGATGCCATACACCACTAGTTGAAATTTGTAATGAATTGTTTATTTTTTGTAGGTATACTTATTAGGGAACACGAAAAATATAAAAGAGACAAAGCACTGAAATTATTAATAACAAATCATGTCTCGAGTTGGGATTCATTTGCAATGCATCTGGCGACAGGCAGTTCATCGGTAATATAATATTTTAAATAAACCTAACCTAAAAAAAATCTCGAACAATAACACATATATCCTTTCCCTCTTTAGCCTTGTAAATGGGATTTCCCCGAAATTCTCCTCTCCTCCATGGGATTACAAGATTACACAGCCTTCGGCAGTATAAATCAGTGTACAAAACATTTATTGAAACGAGTTCCTGCTCCTGAAATTGTACAAAGAAATAGTACACTGGAAAGTACAGGAGTAGTGGCCCTAACTCCGGAAGGAGTCCCTACTAATGGAAAGGCTCTGTTGAAATTTGCAGAGTGGCCCTTTGAATTGGGAGAGTGTGTACAACCTGCAACCATTGGTAAGAAATTATTATATATATATATATATATATATAAAAACTATCTATAAATCAAAAAATCCTAAAAAATTTCCTTAACAAACTTCAGAAAGATTTATCAAAATCCGCATAATCGTTTAGGAAAAGTATCCTTACATACATCATTACAGAAAATTTTCATTTATATATATATTTGTATATATAAATGAAAATTATATATAATATATATATGTATATATAAATGAAAATTATATATAATATATATATGTATATATAAATGAAAATTTTCTGTAATGATGTATGTAAGAATACTTTTCCTAAACGATTATTCGGATTTTGATTAATCTTTCTGAAGTTTGTTAAGAAAATTTTTTTAGGCTTTTTTGATATATATATATATATATATATATATATATGTATATATAAATGAAAATTTTCTGTAATGATGTATGTAAGGATACTTTTCCTAAACGATTATTCGGATTTTGATAAATTTTTCTGAAGTTTGTTTAGGAAATTTTTTAGGATTTTTTGATTTATAGAAATATAGTTAGATTGTAGAAATAAACGGAACAAATTACAAAAAAAAACGGTATGTAATATTATATTATGTATGTAATATTCGGATTTTGATGAATCTTTCCGAAGTTTGTTAAGGGATTTTTCTAGGATATTTTGATTTATAGAAATATAGTTAGATTGTAGAAATAATGGGAAAAAATTACAAAAAAAAAACGGTATGTAAATATACTCCTCCTGAACGATTATTCGGATTTTGATAAATCTTTCTGAAGTTTGTTAAGGGAATTTTTTAGGATTTTTTGATTCATAGAAATATGGTTAGATTGTAGAAATAAACAGAACAAATTACAAAATGTAATGATGTATAAAATGATACTCTCCCTAAACGGTTATTCGGATTTTGATAAATCTTTTTGAAGTTTGTTAAGAGATTTTTTTAGGATTTTTTGATTTATAGCAATATAGTTATTTTGTAGAAATAAACGGAACAAATTACAAAATGTAATGATGTATGAAATGATACTCCCCCTAAACGATTATTCGGATTTTGATAAATCTTTCTGAAGTTTGTTAAGGGATTTTTTCGGGATTTTTTGAATTATAGAAATATATTTAGATTGTAGAAATTAACGGACAAATTACAAAATGTAATGATGTATGAAATGATACTCTCCCTAAACGATTATTCGGATTTTGATAAATCTTTCTGAAGTTTGTTAAGGGATTTTTTTAGGATTTCTTTGATTTATAGAAATATAGTTAGATTGTAGAAATAAACGGAACAAAACACAAAAAAACGGTATGTAAATATACTCCTCCTGAACGATTATTCGGTTTTTGATAAATCTTTCTGAAGTTTAAGGGAATTTTTTAGGATTTTTTGATTTATAAAAATATAGTTAGATTGTAGAAATAAAGGTAAAAAATTACAAAAAAAAACGGTATGTACATATACTCTTCCTGAACGATTATTCGGAATTTGATAAATCTTTCTGTTTAAGGGAATTTTTTAGGATTTTTTTATTTATAGAAAAATAGAGTATATATTTATATATATACATATACATATATAATATAATATATATTTCTATTCTAGTTATCACCAGGCCAGGTATTTGCAACCTGCAAAATTCAGTGATCGGTTCCTCTAGAAACTGGGACACATTCTGGATGATGTTCAGCCCTTACACTATTTACCACATAACTTACCTAAATCCTATTAGAATACCGACTGATGCCGAATGCTCCACAACGTCTTCCACTGATCTCAACACCATTCGCACCACCAAGTTTTGTGATAATGTTTCTACTGCAATCGCTAAAGCACTAGGGTAAGGGTAATGGACAGATAATTTTTTATTTGATTGTTTTTATTTATTATTAAGGGTAATGGATATATGGATAGATAATTTTTTATTTGATTATGTTTATTTATTAGTTTGGTTTTTTAGAATTCCGAAAACAGAGTTTACATCAGCCGATGCAGCAGAGTACGAAAGAAGACGTTTGATGGAATCCAATGTTCAAAGGAGTTGGCAACAGCAAACGCATATCACTCCCGATATTCAAAGGATGGCCAACCAAGTGCGTGAGGTTATGTCCACTGTGCCGATGAATGTTATCATCAAAGATTTAGGTATGTGATGAAAAAATAATCATCTTCTATATATATAAAAATAAGTCAGGTTTTCCTTCCTGACGAAATAACTGCAGAACGCACGAACTGATTTCGAAAATTTTGCATTCTTTGGAAAGGTCTCGGCATCCGCAAGGTTTATAGCTAAGAAAATTAGTGGTGCATGGCGTCGTGCCCTAATGCAAATTGCTGGAACTTCACGCACCGTAATTAAAAACTCAACTAATGACATTAGTGAGAATTATCAGAATTATGCTTGGTTAAGTCAACGAGCAATTCTTGACGCAAAGAATAATGATGTACTTGCACTGAATTTCACCATTCAATCAAAAATTTCTGGCGATTTGGTGACATACCAATGATTCCGACTGGTCTTCCGTTTGACTTCAAACGATTGCAATTTCCAGTTCGCAATAACAAGTCGCAAGGCCAATCGCATAGTGTTTGCGGGATAAATTTCAAATAGATTATTTAGAAAATCATTGTTTTTCACATGGGCAGTTATACGTTGCCTGTTCACGAGTTGAAAAACCATCCGCTTTGTTTGTGTTAACGTCAGACCAAAAAACAAAAAATGTGGTTTACCAGAGAGCACTTCAATGAAAGGGATAATTTGCGGATTCACTTTCATTTATTTAGAGAAGTTCAACTAAAAAAACACTTCATTTTTGCAATCTAAATAAATTCATTACTGTTGTGCAATAGAATCAAATTTTTCCTATTCAAATATAAAACAAACAGAAATCTTCATCTTTCTCACGAAACCATCTGGTGGCGAAACGGAGTTCGTCGGGTTTGCTAGTATATATATATATATATATATATATATATATATATACTACTACTCACATACTTATACTTCCTTCTATCCCTAGTTGTAACAAGAAGTGTAGACTTGACCCTCAGAAACATCCTCGAAGGGCACGTCCGATACACCCCAGAACCTTCACCAACGACCAGCGGGGCACAATCCAGGTCACAGGCTTCATCGAAACCTGCCCAATCGCACAAATCAGCCATGTCCTTCGGTTCGAATGACAGATTGAGTTTCCAGCAAAGAAAACAGCAAATGATAAGCGAAGCCAGAGATAGGTATATTAAGAAACACGGTTTGTGCTGCTAGTGAAGAAGAAAAAATTTGAGGGAAGTTTTATTTATTATACATACTCGGAGGGTTTGTCATGGATTTTGTCATGTATGTATATATTGTTGATTTTAGAAAATATTGAACATGTATGAAGATGCTTAGTTTGTTTATTAAATTATATATATTATATATATATACTAGCTGACCCGACAGACGTTGTTCTGTACTCATGTCTACAATTTTTAAATTTTTTATACTAATATTTACTGCTTAGTTAAAAATAATAATTACTGTTTTTTGAATTACTATTTACACCAATATATGAGTGATGTTGAATGTAGAACTATTTCAAATAAAATGATTGTTCTCAATTCCCACAGTTAACACTTTAATTATTCATTTAACAAATATTAAAAAATGTTCAATAAAATTGTATATTAAAAATTATACAGTGCGATTTATAGAACAAATTTATTTCCAATAGCTCAATTTATTTTATTGCATTTAAGGGTTATATAGTATTTTTAGTCATACCTGTAGATGTGGATGTATAATAAATGATTTTTTGTTTATTCACGACTAAAACATCGATTTTCCAAATTTATCACAATAAAAATGATCGTCTGCCTTTGTGATTTATGTCACAGCATAAGATACACGTGTTGAAAATTGAAATCTTTTAAAAAGGACAACAAATTCAGAAAGAATTAATATATAGCATTCGCGGTAAAGGTGCAATATCACCTTTTATTTTTTACCCAAATATATGCTTCAAAAATGTTGCCTATAATTTTTATAATTTCGTACCATATTTTAACTGGCTTTTAGTAATTTTAATACCTAAATTACATTTTTTTCTCCAATAAATCAATATACATTATTGCTTAAGTTTATATTTGAAGTGAATTAATTTGTCAAATCATGTTCACATGTGCTCTATTCAACTTGCAATCAACAAAATTATTGCTCTGTGATTTTTTTTACTGTGCTCCAATTTACTTGATATTTTGGAAATAGGCTAATCTTTATCTTAATTTCAATGTTTTTAACAATTTGCACTCCGTCACCATCCACAGCATTAATTGGATTATTACTCTTTTAATTCTGATTTTATCAGAACTTGTAATACACTATTTTAAATGTGATTAAATGAGCTACAACTTTCTCTATCATTAATTTTACCGTAACTTCTCTTATTGTAAAACGGCGAAGTTTTAAAGGGCTCGAAAGACCTCTGGTTGGACAGCTCCTTAATTAATCATACATCTATCAATATTTGTGTAACGAAAAAATAATAAACAATAATAATTAGTCAGAAAAATACCTCGAATTTTCTTATATATATACTTTATACGTATTCTTTCAGAGGTATTATGATGAGAATTGGTTGTTTTTTTTTTTAAATGTTTTTTTTTAAATGTTTTTTTTTCATGAAATCATGAGTTTTTTGAGAATCATTTGTACTAAAGTTGTGGTATTTTCTAGAATCCATCAAGATCTCTTAAACAAGTTAATTCTAGATTGAATACGATTATTTTTAATTTTGGTGGATATGGCACTCAAAGTATTTGATTTAAATGAAAAAAAAAAACATTGCATGCGTCCTTTATCTGCATGATAGCTCACTCATTTTACACGCAGAAGTACTCATTTTAAAGCTTATTTTGAGCACTATAAAAACCCATTTTTATATCTAGCCTAATAATGTTCCTAAAACACTATAAAATAACGATTTATTAAGATTTTAATTGATATAATTCTGTTCATTACATGATTTTCGTTAAAATGTATATTTTTGAAGGTGTTAGCAAAAAATGATGAAAAACGCAAAAAAAAACAAATATTCAGTAGCCAGTAACTTGAAAAGTATTTCGTTTTTTGAAAAACATTATTAAATATTTTTCTCGTATAATTAGTTTTTTATCGATACCCAACGTTATTTTGAAAAAAGTAAAATTACACCACTGAAAAGAAATGTCATCCACCCGAGAAGTGGTAAAGGAGTCTAAATTGTTTTCACTTCTGAAGAATAAGATGAACCTAGTTCAAATTCCAAACGAATTGGAAAATAGTAAAAATTTCAGACCCAAAGCGCTCCATTGAGTAATATTCCGTACCCAATGACAACATATGAATTTTTGACACAATGAAACTTCTAAATAATTTTTTTTGTATTGTGATTTAGTATAGTAAGGCAAAACGACTGCAAATTGAATATGTTTGAGCGCAATCACTTATGGCTCGCTCCTTTGCGCGAATTCGTACGGCGAATCTGTTCGCAAAGTGCGCAAACAAAATTATTGCAAGCAAAAGCAAACCACGCGCACGTCAGACGCATGCGCAGACTGCATCACTTGTCAAATGCATGTTATAATTATTTGCATCTTATATTAATTTAATTTTTTGGCACATCTCAGCTGCTTTTCGGCATTAATAATGTAGACATTAATTTTTCTTATTCATAATTATGAATTTATTATATTCTAATATCGCCTTAGCTATAAGTGAATAGAAATGTTTGGCAAATGACAGTCCTCATTGTTTTTAATGTCAACTAAGTTTCAAATATTTTTCAAGGGCAAAACAATGATAAGCTTTTTTATAATTTTTTTTCTATTTATTTCTACAATCTAACTATATTTCTATGATCAAAACATTCTAAAAAATTTCCCGAACAAACTTCAGGAAGATTCATGAAAATCCGAATTATAGTTTAGGAGGAAATATGAAACTTACATTGTTCGAAGAATTTTATATATAAGATAATAT